CCTTGGGTTTCCGAGGCAGTATCACTACGGAAGTAGGATTGCCCAACCTTCCTTCTGAGGAGTGGCTGGTAGGTTTGAACCGCCAGCCTTCTAGTTAGCAGTCAAGTGCTTTAGCCACTATGCTACCAGAGCTCCTTGGAGGACATTATGCTGAGCAAAATAAGTCAATTACAGAAGAACAAGTATTATATTAGTCCATTATTGTAAAAAGTCAAGGAAAGGTTTATAGGTAGAAGGAGACTTCTTTGTTGGTTACCAGGGAGGGGAGGGGAGGGAGGAAAATTTCTAGATAGGTTGGAAAAAAAAAGATATATACATATATATATATGTATATATATATATAAAACCAAACCAAACTCATTGCCATTGAGTTGATCCTGACTCACAGCAACCCCCTTTTGGGTTTCCAAGGTGGTAAATCTTCACAGAAGTAGATGGTTCTGTTTTCCTTCTGCAGAGGGGCTAGTGGATTTGAACCGCCAACCTTCTGGTTAGCAGTCAATTCCCTTTGCCAGTACACCACCAGAGCTCCTTTATGTGTGTGTGTATACATAAAAGATATATATATGTACATTTTATACACACACACACATACATATATATATACACCAAAGATTCTTAGTGGTTACCAGAGGCAGGAGGGAGGGGAAGGCGAAGCTTTTGTTTGCGGGCATTGAGCTTATGCTAATGGCGGTGGGATATTTTGGAAAAGGAGAGCAATGATGACGGCACGACATGAAAATTGTCATCAGGGTCCCTGAGCTGTAAACGGGGAAGTTGTTATGTTGTCAAGTGTCTTGTTGTGTGTGTTTTCACCACAACAAAAGTTAAAAAAAAAAAAAAGGAAAGAAAACTTTGTTCTTAGAAGATACATAGCAGTGGGGTGAAGGAGCCTGTCTGCACCTTGCTGTCCAATGGTTAATAAATAAATAAAGGTTAATGAATGAATAAAGGGCGAGCGGTAAAGCAAATGGGGAAAACAGCATACACAGTTGGTGACTCTGAGTAAAACGTATTGAAAGTTGTTTGTACAAATTTACAGTTTCTGCAGGTTTGAGGTTGATTTGAGGTGGTGTTGACTGTTCCAGCTCACCCTCATGTCTGTTCGGACTCCTAGCGACCCCTCCTAGGGTTTCCGAAGCGGTATCACTACGGAAGTAGATTGCCCCATCTGCCTTCCCAGGAGTGGCTGGTGGATTTGAACCGCCAGCCTTCTGGTTACCAGTAAAGTTCTGCGCCTCCCACTCACCTACAACGAGATAAAAAGTTATCCGCTTCTAATTCCTCTAGCAGCTTGCGAAATCCGGAAGATAAGAGGCAGGCGGGCGCGTTTGCACAGAGCTGCCGCCAGACGGCCCTGTGTCACGTGTGGAGAGGCCACGTGACCGGAGGCCCGAGCGCAACATGGCGCCCTCCATGGGTCGCGGGCATCTCGTCTTCCTCGCGCTGCTTGGCTTCCTCCGGGAGGCGTCTGGTGACCTAGGCTCGGGGTGAGTGCAGCTCCCGGGGGGCGAGCCTGGCTGGCGGGCCGGTCCCTGCCCGGGGCGCGACCCTCCAGCTTACAGCGTCCTCGCCGCCCGGTTCCCACAGGGTGTCCCGCGACGACGACTTGCTGCAGCCCTACCCCCGCGCGCGCAC